TGGGTCTTGCTCTCAAGTTGCTGCTTCTCCGCTTCCCACCGTCTCTGCACTTTGGCTGTCAATTCTTGCCTGGAGCAACTGTTGCTCAGGAACCTGCTGGGACAAGTCTTCTGCCTCGACCTCGACACACTCCTTTGGATGAATTGGTGTTAGCCCTGCGGCCCCACGCACCAGGGTAAGAGAGACTCTCGCTTCCTGCCCTGGCCCGAGGGACCGACTGGCTGGGCCTGCCTTCTGCCCAGCTCACTGGTCATGGAAGAGTTCGGACACGCACTCCACTCTTGCCTGATGAAAAAAGTTTACAGAGCCCAGTTTTTTCCTCTCACCGTAGTGAAAGTCTGATGACGTAGAGGTGAGGGTCATGACTGACAGGTGAGCCAGAAAGCTCTGCTCCCTTCGCCTACTGTGCTTTTCTCTGGCTGGTCTTGGGTACCGGGGACACTGTAGCTCTCCCATGGGGTGGCCATCATACTCTGAGGAGGGACTAACATGCCTTTCCTTCCCCAGTCACACTTTTGGAGTCTTAAGTCCTCCATGGAAGGGGATAGCCTTACAAGATGTATTTAAAAACCATCTTGTTACAAGATTGGGAGTGAACTTTCTTTTCTGAGGAATCAGGTAGTCTTCCATAGTCTCACTAAGCTCCCTAAAATAAAGGGCCATTTGCCTTTCCAAGATAAGAGTGTTGCCCTTGGGAGTTGTCCAGCAGCCTTGCTGTCCATGGTTGAGTCTGGCTCACCTGTCTTCTGTCAACTGGAACTCTCCATCCACCAGAACCTGTGCAGCCTTCATTCAATATGGGGAACTCCAGAGACGTGGGGTTAGGACCCTGTCATTTGCTACCAGACTCCCCAGTACCCCGCAGTCCCTGAACATGAGTAAACTATATTTGGTCTAGCATAATTGTTAGCCTGGAACCAGTTCTTTATTGTAATACCTGTATGACCCCTGGTAGTTCTCACTCAGGGTTACCTAAAGGATGCTGTTAAAAATAGCAATCATTAAGCTGATTGGATTCAGTGATTTCTATTATAGGCATTACAAATCTTTAGTAGTTTGGGACTTAGGGGTGTTGGGGAAAGAAAGAAATATGCCTGTTTAACATCCTGGGTCTGAGTTTTTTCTGGAAATGTTAAATGAGAGCTTATAGGAGAGAACTGTTTAAGTGTCTTCGTGCCCTAATATCTTACCGTCTTCCTAAGCAGCTAGAGGTTTATAATTTTATGGATGTAATGCATGTAGACTTTAGGGAATACTCCTTTTTGTCTAATTGGTTGCTAAGATTAGGTATCTATGGAAACAGCCATCCTTTAGTATTCAAGATAGGAAGTTTATTTCTTTTACTCTGCGCGATTATACAAGGAGTATAGTGTTCCTTGTATGATGGCTTCTTGCAAGGCCTGCTGTAGAAATTGGATTTCTTAGGTCTGTGAAAGAAGCAGAAAGGATGCCTTCTCCTTCTCCTGCCTTGAGCTACCTCTACATTTTCAGAAACCAATGGTCCTCCCCCACAAAACCTCATAATTAACTCTTCCCAGATTATTGTACAAGTTTTGAATATTAAAAATTGTCTCTCAACAGTGGCTTTATGAGCTCCAAGCCAAGTTTATTTTGAAAACCTTGTTCTGTGTTACTTTTGTCTTTCTACTCAGGTTTTACCTTACCACAGACATTTTTTACATTTGTATAACACTGTTTCTATGTAACTGTGAAAATTCTCAGATGTAAGTACTGTGTTTTTGCCAGTATGAATATACCTTCTTACCTCCGGCATAAGATGGTCTCTGGAGCATGGTGAGGTTCCTTGAATGCTTTGCCTTTATTTTGTTTTATGTTATATACAGAGGAAGGCTGATAACTTGTACAAAGAATAAGCATCTTTCCTCTGGTAGTTGAGAGAAAAGATGGGGAAAGTTCTCTCTCTCTCTTTGTTTTATCTATCTATCTATCTATCTATCTATCTATCTATCTATTTATTTTTCCTCTCAAATTCTATCCCCAGACTTGTAATCTGGTGTCTAGCATATCTTAACCCCAGAAAGTGATGTTCTGGACTGTATTTTCTTCCATTTAACTGTGTATTCTTTTAATTTAGCTTTTTGCATATGCTGTTTACCATTCATTCATTCCTTATTCCAAATATTTGAGTACTAATTTGACCTAGCACCGTTTCGCCCTGCAATTATCTTGGCGACTGAGGCAGGTATATTCTCTGTCCTATTAAGGTTCACCATCTAGCCAGGGAGACAGGGTTGCCAGGCAGTTACAGCACAATATGGAGCAGTTTTTTTTTAAGATTTTATTTATTCATGAGAGAGAGACACAGAGAGAGGCAGAGACACAGGAAGAGAGAGAAGCAGGCTCCATGCAGGGAGCCTGACATGGGACTCAATCCTGGGTCTCCAGGATCAGGCCCTGGGCTGAAGGCAGCACTCAACCACTGAGCCACCCAGGCATCCCTGGGGTAGTTTTAATGAGAGAATACAGGGCATGTGTGATCTCAGAAAAGGGACATTAACTCAGATTTGAGATCAGAGAGGTGGACACATCACCTGAGTCCTGAAAGATAAGCACATGTGAGAGCAGAGGGATCCAGAAAGGGGGAAGAATGTTTCATAGAGAGGTAACAGAGGGTGTTGAGTGCCTGAGGTCATTGCAGAAAGAAAACTTAAGTCCTGGTTTAATTCTTCCTTAGTCTCCAAAACTAGATTTCATGGAAAATCGTTACAGTATTGTGCCTTCATTTTAGCTTTACCAACTCAAAACCAGAAGGGTGGTGCAAGTTCTAGGCATGTTTAAGAATGCATGGCAAATCATTGGGCCCCAGAGGAGTAAGGTGGGCGTTGTCTGAGTTTGTCAAGAAGCTGCGTTAATTAACATCCCCCTTCAACTGTTCTGTTCATGGATGCCTGACTAAGCCAAGAGTTACATAAGGGAAATAATGTTGAATTCAGCTTTTCTCTGAAAAGGGCCACTCTTGACACAGAGCCACGGACCCTCTGAACCACATCACAGAGAGTCAAACGTAGAATATTTATTTCCAGAAGCAGTAGCAGTAGCTCTAAGCTTGAACTGCGTGTCTTGGGTTCCTTTGGAATGTTCCAGAAGTTGGAACTGACTTCTGAGTTTTTGAACACTGGATACCCACATTTGACTACAGACCACCCTCATGGGCAGTAGGTAGGTGAGCCTGGATCTGGAATCTTGGGGCCTAAATGATGGATGAGCAGTAGTTACGAGCTCCCGGTTCTGCCTCCTGGTGTGGTAGATGCTGTTCACCTGAGGCATGTACTCCTGTGAGTTGATGTAGATTTTGATCATCACTCCTCTCCCCAAACATTTGTTGTGGAGAAGTGAGAGTACTCTGGTTATTCATAATGGCAGACATTGTTAATGGAACATCATCAGCAAGTCCCTGTGGTCCAGGGGTGAAAACAGTGGTTATCCAAGTACAAATATTGGAGCAGCCACATCACTCTCAATCAGGAACTTGTTAGAGATGCCCATTCCCTGCCCCACTCCAGACCTGCTGAGTAAGCACCTCTGGCAGGGTGAGCCTGATAATTTGTGTCTTAACAACCAGCAAGGTGATTCTGAGGCCCACTGAGTTTGAGAACCACTGGAGTAAATAATACAAGCTACAGGTAATGAGAAACATCCTGTGACTCCTATTGATTGGTGGCCTGTGACTTCCACCCCTTTCTCGTCATGTCTAAGGAGGCATCTTGCAATGCCAGTGAGCACGATGTCCTTATAGGGGCAACCATGAAATTTGTACAAGTTCATTAAAATGTGTACACTGTTGTTGACTCTGCTACTTTTTTATTTATGAATAACAGGTGACAAAAGTCACAATAACAGGGATACCACAATTAAATGCTGTGGCTCTGTTGTTATAGCTGAAGCAGTGGCTGGCTTTCTTGCTTTCTTTCTCCTTCCTTCCTTCCTTCCTTCCTTCCTTCCTTCCTTCCTTCCTTCTATACCCTACACTAAGAAATATGTTTAAATTGTTATGCAGGAGACACCTACCTGTATGTATAACCACCACAATTGTTTGATGAAATAACACCCTTCATATATTTTCTGTGCTGCTCTATTAAAAGTATGCTGGTTTGCAATGCATAAAATTCATCTCATGACTCACTAATGAAATGTGACCTGCAGTTTGAAAAACATGGATGTAGTGAGCTGTCTATGCATGGACCCGATCCCTGGAGCAGGAGAGGGGTGGGGCTGCCTTCACCTCTATGCCAGGTAGACTTGGTTTTCAGTCTCTATTCCACCACTCTCAGCTGTGTGACCTTGGGCAATCTACTTACGTTCTCTGAGCTTTAATTTCCTCATCTGTCAATATCAATAATATCTATCTCACAGGGTTATGGCGACATGTAAATGACAACACATTGCATGCAGTGACTGGCAGTGGTAGCTACTACCTTACCTGTGGAAACAGTATTGTTCAGAGCATCATCAGTTAAATACATTTTTGTGGTTGCTACCCTAAAGCAGTCTTTCGCAGTTTTCCCCTAAACTTCAATGAGTAAGTGCCCTCTGTAGTTTCTGTAATCAGAAATATTTTTGAAGTAATTTTATCCTAAAAATGCAACCAAGTTGCACTCTATTCCAAAATATATTCAAATTTTGATATATGTTTTGTGATATTTTGATGCAAAATTTCGTTTCCCTCGCCGAAATCCTTGAGGGCATTGTGATCATAGAATAAGCCCTGAGTGGCTACATGTACCACCAGCACAGCCCTGAGCACAAGGATTTGGAAGTGTAGTTCTCATGATGGTGTTTCTTCATACGATGTTCTTGTTAGATTTTTCTTGAATTGTCCTATTTGTTGGTGACTTAGGGCAGCATCTCCAAATGTGTAACTCTGTACCCTGAATGGCCCGTGGACCCTGGGCAGCTGGCATGTGGAAGTACCAGGGATTGATCATGTGTGAATCCATTAGCTGGGCAGACCCAGCTAATGTCTGTTTGTCTTTCTGGAGGTCATGATTGTGGTTGGTGGCCAGGCCCCCAAGGCGATCCGCAGCGTGGAATGTTATGATTTCGAAGAGGACCGGTGGGACCAGATTGCTGAGCTTCCCTCCAGGAGATGCAGAGCAGGTGAGTAGCACCATCTGTCATTGTGCAGCCTGCTTTCCCCAGCTTGTCTCTGCTTACTGCCAGAAGTCCTCCACTGCTCCTTGTTTCCACAAACATCTGTGCATTATAGACTCTCTTCCTCTTCCTCTTCCTTCCCCACTTGCCCAATTTCTGGCTGCCCCTTCTGTGGTCGGTTCTTATGTGCTTCGGGACTTCAGGCTGGTACAAGTATTTGCTTGAATCAAACAACATTGGAAAAGCATATATGAATGGAAATCCAGAGAGTCCATAATGGCTTCCAGTTCTATAAAGTTGGAGATCACTTTCTGTGGTGAATTATTCACATGATTGTCCGGCTCCCCAATGTCACTCATTGTCACCGCATGAGTGATCAGCCGCCTGAGATGACCTCGATGCCTTGGTTTTCCTGTGCCTCAGGTGTGGTGTTCATGGCTGGTCACGTGTATGCTGTGGGCGGGTTTAACGGCTCACTGCGCGTGCGGACAGTGGACGTATATGATGGTGTGAAGGACCAGTGGACGTCCATCGCCAGCATGCAGGAGCGCCGGAGCACTCTGGGTGCGGCCGTGCTCAATGACCTCCTCTACGCCGTGGGGGGCTTTGATGGCAGTACTGGTAGGTCTGGGATGTGGTCTCCACTCCTCCCGGCCTGGGACATGCCCTCAGGGCAACCCTGGTTTGCTCAGCCAGTTCTTGGGCCAATGTTCTGTCCATCCAGAACTACTTCCTCAGCAGGATACTCATCCTTCCTCATCTCCTACCTTGCTTGCCAGAGCCAGGCTTTCCTGCACACAGACTATGTAACTGCCCACATGCTATCATTTCTAGGACTCTAGGAAGGATTCTGCACTCAGAAGAGGCCATATTCTCCTTGCTATTGTTTGGAACCTATTTTTTTCAAAAACTGAGACTTAGCATGTTTAGCTGCAGGGCATCTTAGGATTGTCCAAATCTTCTGCTGGACGAACAAAGGAGCTGGGGTTCCACCATGGGAGAAACCTGACTCAGGCGTGTGCCATCTTTGTCCATTGCCCTTTCCCTGCTCCATGAAGCTTTGCCAGGCTGTGCCACAGCAGGAACATCCACTTGCTCCTGGCTTCTGTGTCACTTCAGAGTTCAAATCAGAAACTATGAATAGATGTGGACTTGGAGAGATGATCACATTTCTCATCTACCTCTAGGTGGAACTCTCTGTAGACAGTAGCTCTGGTACACTGAAATGCCCCCAGGGATGTAAAAAACAGGATTTTTTACTTCATTGAATTTTCATTTGTGTCTTTACCACTTGATAACCTTTCCCAGTCTTCTCTTTGCCTCACTCATAAACCTCCAGGGTCTACAGCCCCTCCAGGGGCTTCCACTAATGGATAGGACCTGAGAATAAAGAGAAGAAAAGGGAATGGAGCATTGTTTCTTTAAGAAGTTGCTTTCAGCTGTAAGTAGAAAGTCCTGCTATATGGTGGCTTATGCAATTGAGAAGTACTGTTCTACCCATGAAACAGGGACTCTGGAAGTTGGTAGTTGCTCACTTCATCCACTTGATCAAGAATATTGTGGCCAAGCTCTTTAAACGTCTCTTGGCTAACATTTGCAGGGCAGTTCAGTTGTATCTCTGTGTCCTCTCATGACCTGCCCTGAGTCAGGCCTTGGTGCACCTCCCATGCAGATGTGCTTTAGGGAGCTGCCCTAGGGAGCTACAGCAAAGTAGAGGTGGTGCTCAGCCATACATGCAGGTCTCTGACCCTCTCCCCAGCTTTTCTTGGGCACACTGGGTGAGGCCTTAACAGTAGGGAATCTCATGAGTCTCTTGTCTCCCAGGCCTAGCATCCGTGGAAGCCTACAGCTACAAGACCAATGAGTGGTTCTTCGTGGCTCCAATGAACACACGGCGGAGCAGCGTGGGTGTGGGCGTTGTGGAGGGTAAGAACAAAAGTGCGTGGTGGCCTATCTGTGCCCCAGCCCGCAGGTCTTGTCCTCATGCCCTGGCTCTAGTCCTCCCATCACAGCTCTTGAGTCAGGTACTAGTCTCCTGACAGAACAGGTGAGGAAAGTTGAGGTGCAGCTACTGGCTTGAGGCTAGCGGGTGGCCTGCTGTGTTGGGAAGAGTAAGAGAAGCCTAAGGGGAAACACCGGCCTGTTCCTTTGGCCACTTGTCAACAGTTCTCTTACAGGTTGAAGACTCAGGGTCAACATATAACTGAGGAGCATAATGTGATGGGGGGGGTAAGAATCATTTCATTTAATTAATTTTATTTTCCTATTCCTATGTTGACACATTAACAGAGCCTAGGGTGAAGTGGGCATTTCCTTCCAGATCTGATTACTGTCACTGCAGGACAGGTTGGTCACAGAGTCCTGCTCTTGTCAGGAAGGGTGTGTGGGGTGAGGCAGGTGGGAGTGATTAGGTCTGGGGCTCAGTTAGACTGTAGTTTATAAATGGCTCCTTTATATACAAATTTTGTTCCCAAAATCCTTTTGAAGAAGATAGGCAAGGCTTACATTTTCTCCATTCTCCACATGGGGAAGTAGAATGCCAGAGGGGCAAGTGATGTGCTCATTCGTAAATAGCACAGCCAGTCCTGGAGCCTGGGTCTTCTGACTCCAAACTCACTGCTCTTTCTATCGTGCTACACTCTTTCAGACCATTAGCAAATGCTATCAGGGAGTCTTATAAATATGTGTGAATTCAATGTATTAAAGCACAGAGTATGATTTGGACTAAAATGTCCTACTTTGTAGGACAACACTGTCTCTCTGCTTTTCATGTGCACCCTAAGAACACCCTTACTTGCTTTGGGGAAAGTTTAATATGCAGTGATTAGACAGTAATAGAAATATTCTTTTCTCTCACTGCATTTCTTATTTTGTACCAGTATTGTGTAAATTTCCATTTAAAAGTACATTATTCTAACATACTAAACAAGTCATCCTGGTGAGTGCAAGGATTCCATCCTCCTATCAAGATAAATTGTTTTTTTTTGCAATCTCATCCTCCTGGTGGAACAGAAATTGATTTGTCTGCCAAACGTAAGTGCTTTGTCTAGCCACCTTCCCACTTCCCCCCTTGTTCCTCAGCCAGGAATATCAAACAATAGAGGAGGGGTTAAAAATAGCAAGTCCCTGTTAATAGACTCAAGGAGAAACCTTGAGTGGGTATTTTTTCAGCTGATACAAGGTTGAGATGGTTGGCGGGGGTTAGAGAAGTTGCCTTCATGGTAGTGATTTTAAATCCTCCCCTTGATGAGGGCTTTTGGGAGCATCTTGTGTGTGTGGAAGGAGTGCTGTATTGTAGCATGCCTTTTGACACAGAGGACAGCCTGGGAACGTGTTGATCTTTGTATCCTAAATTTGAAGCCCTTTGGCTCTGGGTCATCCTGGGACAGCAGAGGGTCCTCCTTACAACTCCAGTGAGAATGTTTCAGGGGTACCTTACAGGGCTTCTGCTTCACTCTGGCCTTATAGGTACAGCTCTCCACGTTTCACGGTGCTCTCCTCCCTCTCCCTGTCTCCTACTGTGGCTGCCTGGTCTGAATGACACCGGGGTTGCCCTTGGGAGCTTCTCCTCTCCTCCACATCCCAAGCCTTCCTCTTTCCCAAGTGACTTAGGCTTTGGTGAGTGGTGGGCAGCTGGGAGGGCAGGTGGTTGTGTCTTGGCCAGCACACCCCATAGAAGCAGCCTGGACTCTAGAAGAGCTGCTGGGTCAGGAATTTCTCCTGTGGCTTAGGTGAGGATGGAACTGGAAAGGAGGTGTCCCTTTCTTTTAGAAGGTCCACTGGAAAGGATTCTGGGGCAGAAAACAAAACCAACCTCAGTGGTAGAAGAAGAAATAATTTTACATTTGATACAGCAATAGTTGTGATGGTACAGTGCATTTTTGAGCCTCTAACTTAAAATAATTGCCCACTTCCAAATAATGTTTGTACTTTTGTTATTTCTCCCTTAGGAAAGCACATAGTGACAAAAAAATCTCTTTTAATTAGTAACTCTATTAAGTGGATTTGCATTGGGCAGTGCTTCTTTAGCCTACAGCTAGTGTTTAAGATCTTTATTATAACTCTCTTGTTCCCCATCAGTCTGTAGCCCACAGGTGAGGTAGGACTGCCCTTGCCCACCCCCCCACCCCCACACACAAGGTGGGGGAGGCAGGAGTGGGAGAGAAGAGGCCCTCCATGCTTGAATCTCTGCTCTGGGAGCGCTCTAATGCCAACTTCCTGCCCCTTGTCCAACCTTACGCCTGGCCCCAGGCAGAAATGATGCTTTTGGATAGCAGCTTATGGTATTTTTATTTTAAAAATGGGTAATGGTATTTCAGGAATATTGTGCATGGCTCAAAGATTACAAGGGAGCCAATAGATGAGTTCCAGCCACCCTGGCCCAGAGTTGACACAGAGCACTCCATTCACATGCTTCATTTGCTGAAATTGTGGACTGAGCACACGAATGACGGTGAAGACAGGGTTTGGGTTCTCACTGAAGAATATTTTCCCATATTTGTTTCATCTACCATTGTGAGCCTTTAGCCACAAAGTCAGCCTGCCTGCCTGTAGCGGGGGCCCTCTAGCTTTTTATGTCTTGGGTGCCTTATCCTGGAGAAGATCTAACATAGTGCACTAGCAAGAGTATGCTAAGCCCCAGTGGCATCAGACCATAGCTTTGCATGGGCACTGAGGGTGCTTACTTAGAAGCATGCTTAGTACGGCTTCAGGGAGCCTCATGGCGTATGAGGAAGTGGAAGGCAGGCATGTGAAGAATGCTTAGTCTGGCTTGTGGTGCCTCTGGAGAAAAGGGGCCCTGAACTCTGATGGAGGGGAAGGAGCCAACCCAGTGGGTTAAAGATGGAATTTCAGCCCAGCTCCAGTTACTTTCCAGCACCACCTTCAGCCACTGTGTCTGTTCCAGGGAAGCTATATGCTGTCGGGGGTTATGATGGGGCTTCCCGCCAGTGCCTGAGCACCGTGGAGCAGTACAACCCAGCAACCAATGAGTGGACGTATGTGGCAGACATGAGCACTCGCCGTAGTGGCGCAGGTATGAGGGAGCCCCAGGGTACAGGCTGTGTCTCATCTGCTCTCAGGTGGGTCTGGAGACCAGCAGGTGCATGTTCTACCTCATTGTACCTTCCTATTCTTTCTTTCTTTCTTTCTTTCTTTCTTTCTTTCTTTCTTTCTTTCTTTCTTTCTTTCTTTCTTTCTTTCTTTTTAAATTTAATTTTATTTTTTCTTTCCTCTTGATGTCTGGAATCCCACTAGCACCTTGTGTACCCCGACACAAGCACTTACAGATTAACCTCTCCCAGGGGATTTTCTCTTCACTGTGATCCCTTCTGTTTCTGTGGGGATATCTGTGTTCCTGGAAAGGGAACATTTGCTCTGTGCCAAGTGCCATCCTAATAAGCACCTTCTGTACTTGGATTGATCTCATCCTCTCCACTGCCCTAAAAGGAAGACACAGCATTAATTCCAACTCAACAGGAAGTAAGTTGACCAGGGGGCGAATAATTTGCTCAAGGTCATTTAACTGGTTGAGTGGGACTCCCACTCGGCTTTGTCCCTGAAGTTAGCTTTTCTGACCCCTAAATTATCACAGTCACATTCTTAGTAGAGCAGTGAGCATGGCTGTCCCAGTCTCCAGTGGATGAAACTCAAGCCTGCCTGTCTGGGTTGAAAGCCAAGCTGTCAGTGTTCCTATTAGGAGATGAACTTACATCTCTCTACCTGCACCCCTCACTCCATTCCCCACATGGAAAGGGAAGGATTTTGCAAGTGTGGCTCACTTCTGAATCCTGTGGGAAGACAAGGAGCCATGTGCTCTCTGGGATTTTCCAGGAAGTAGAGCAACAGCCCCCATCACCTCAGAGGCCCAAAGAAAGGGTCTGAGAGGACAGAGGCATGGAATATTGGGCCCTGGCTCTCTGTTCTGGTTCTGTTGGGAGCTGATGAGTGCTGAGCAGCCTGGGCCGGGTGGGAAGGTTGTGTGACTTCCTCAAAGGGAAGCAACAGTTGTGAGTTTCCACCAATAATACTCTTCCTTTCTCATTTTTTTTTAATTTGAGGTGTAGCTGACATGCATTAGTATATTAATTTCAGATATACAACATTATGACTTGGTATTTGTATATATTATGAAATGATCACCACATACATTACATCTGTCACCACACATAGTCACAGAATTTCTTTTCCTGTGATGAGAACTTTTAAGATCTACTTTCTTAGCAAATTTTAAAATATGAAATACAGTTTTATTAATTATAGTTGCCATACTTTACTTGACATCCTCATGACTTTTTTATTTTATAAGTGGAAGTTTGTATCTTTTGGCCACCTTCACCCATTTGGCCCACCCTCTCACCCCCTGACCTTGGCAATCATCCATCTGTTCTCTATTTTATGAGCTTTGATTTTTTTTTTAAAAAGATTCCACATAGAAGTCCACATAGAAGTGGAGGTCATATGATATTTTCTCTGATTTAATTTACTTAGTATAATGGCCTCAAGGATTTTCTTTTTTATATATTTTTTTCTTTTGTGTGTTTTTGAAGATTGAATTATAATCTCACTTTATAGCACCAAACATGTGAGTGTTTCCTCAGCATTCCTTAAAAACTATGCTATTTTAATATTAAATTCAAAAACCTGGGATCCCTGGGTGGCGCAGTGGTTTGGCGCCTGCCTTTGGCCCAGGGCGCGATCCTGGAGACCCGGGATCGAATCCCACATCGGGCTCCCGGTGCATGGAGCCTGCTTCTCCCTCTGCCTGTGTCTCTGCCCCCCTCTCTCTCTCTCTCTCTCTCTGTGTGTGTGTGTGACTATCATAAATAAATAAAAATTAAAAAAAAAACAAACCTGTGTGTACTCACTGGTTAGAAAAGAAAAGAGGTATACGACCCCATTTAAGAAGCATTTGTGTTTGGGATGCTATTTTTAGCTGGCTTGTTTCTGCTAATTCTGACCAGTTGGCCCTTCCTAAACCTGGAGCAAATGCCTGAAAGTCAGGACACCGGTGCTTTAGTGCTGGGCCGGCTGAAGCTTACCATGAGACCTTGTGCAAATCCCTTCCTCCTTCTGATTCCTCAGATGTGAAATGAGTGGGTTATAGTAGACGTTCCTTAGAGGCCAATGCAGTTCACCCATCTCATGGCCCCTGTCCCTCCATCGAGCTCCTTGAGTAATCGTGGTTTCTAGGGTCTTAGTAGAGTTGTCTTCACACCTCCTAGGAATCCTCTATGACTTGAGGTGTGAGAGCAAGTTCAAAGCTCAAGGATGTAGGGACAGCTCAGGAAGAGTGGGGTAGCCCTGAGATAGGGGGGTGGCTTCTAGGAATGTCTCAAGCAGGAAGTGTGGAGGTGCAGCCCCTTGTGGAGCCACTAGCACAGACCTGCCTCACCTGCCTTAAATGGGCCTCTGGAGGCCAACAACTCTGTCTCTGCCAGGCGACCCAGGGGTTGTTGCTGTGTGGAGTTCGCTGGAACCGCTCTTGCCTTTACCTGGGCTAGCAGCCCTCGATGATGGCAGTTCCGCTGCCTGTGTCCGCGGGTGAAATCAGTTTAGGGAATGCTCTCTCTCCCAGAGTGGACACTTTACCTCATCACTGAGTCTTGGCATCAGGCTCCCAGGACGGATTTTGCTTTGTGCTTCATGTCCCTAAAGTGTGGGAAAGCCGTCCCTCTGGAGAGGGGAACCCATACACTTGTGATAGTGGGTGTTCTTTGGTGGCTCAAAGAACCTTTGAAGTGCCAGGAGGTCCAGAAGACTTCTATGTGAACATTTGCGGAACTGGCTTCAAAAGGGCAGGGGTGACCCCGATGACCTGGAATGCTGCTTGTTTTTTCACTAGGGTGTGAACTTTGCCGGCAGATGGTTGAGGAGTAGAGAGTCCATCTCTGGGACCCAGGCTGGGCTTGTTCCTGCTGAACGTGGAAGAGGGGCAGATGAGGCTGCTTTGGAACACCCTGAATGTATTAAACCTGGCTGTTAGATAGCCGTTGCTGGTACAACACCACCATCTGCTGTTAGTTTATGGCAACTGTGGCATAATTGCTAGAGGGGATTTTACATATCTTGTCATTCAAACAATAAACCTGGTGTCGTCAGGTGCAGGGAAGCAGATGAGATAAGGCACCCAGGGTCCTTGTCCGTGTGAAGTTTATATCCTAGAAATCTGGTGCCCTGGGCTGACACCTGGCTGCACATCCCAGTCACCTGAGGTGCTTTTTCTGATTTCCAGCCAGTGTCTGTGGGAGAGAGGCCCTGGATTCTGTCTTTTCAAAATCTCCCCACCTGAATGAGATGTAGCACATCGTGGGGTGGAGTCGCCCCTGGTCCCCTGGAACTGCCCATCCAGTCCAACTCCCTCACTTTACCTGTGGGAGGACTGAGACCTCGAAAGGGGAAGTTGACCTGGTGGCAGGTTAGAGACACCCAGGTCCAGACCCCACATGTCCTGGACACCAGGTCAGTTGCTCTTTCTGGTCCTGGGCTACCGTCCTTCCTTCTGGCTTTTATTTCTGTGACTTACATTAGAGGACTTTGAAAGGTTATTCTAAATCCTGTCCACAATGCCGTTCTAGGAGTCAGCTTAGGTCTGTCAACAGTGGGAGGGATTTAATGCCCCTCTGCAAGCTAAGAGGAGAGCATGTGGCAGAAAGAACAGGTTCTGCTTCAAAACAGGTGAGGAGGTCCATGTGGTAATGATATCAGCACACCTGCTGCGTGGCTGGTCTCTGCTTTTAACTCTTTTTACGCAACCCATATAATAGAAGGCTGAGGAATATCAGTAATACAACATTGTAGAAAAACTTGGCAACACAGACAGGCAAAAGGGAAGACAAATTTTACCATCTGGGAATAACTACTAAAGTTTTGGAAGTCTTGCAGTCTTTTTTTTCTTTGCATATAAACCCTCTCTCCCCATTGTATACACACATACACACATATTTGTCACACACGTATGTATATTTATGTTTCTTTAAATAGATACAGGATAATTTTTACTTTATCTTTGGGGAATTCTCAGGTTGACAGCCTTAGGAGGCAGGCAGGATGTCATTATATTTGTTTTACAGAAGAGGGCGCTGAGGCCCAGGGGAACAAAACAGCACTGTCCATGTCACCCTGCTGGTGACAGCCGCCCAGGACAGGATGCCAGCCCTCCTAGCTTCTGGTCACAGTGGCCAGTCTGAGGCTGAGACACTGCTCTGCTTTTCAGGGGTCGGGGTGCTCAGTGGACAGCTGTATGCCACCGGCGGGCATGACGGGCCCCTGGTGAGGAAGAGTGTTGAAGTTTACGATCCTGGAACAAACACCTGGAAGCAGGTGGCAGACATGAACATGTGCCGGCGTAATGCAGGTAATACAGCCACTCTGTCCTTCCGTCCTTGTGGGGTGTGGGTGCAATTACTAGCTGTAAAAGAAGGGCAGAGGGGAGAGACCAGCAATGGCTGTCTAACAGAATCTGGGCTGGAACTTGTACCCCAAATGGAATTATCCCTTCGACAACTAGGTGCTGAGTTAGGAGAGGGGAGAGCTGGGGAGCACAAATGCTAGCCATATGGTCCCCCACTTAGATGCAGGGGCTGATAACTTTCACTGTACACGTGTGGACATAGACTGAAGAAAGCCCTCTTATTGCCACCAGAGCCTCCTTCCTAGTGGCCCTGTTGGGTAGTTGAGCACAGGGCTATGTGGACATGGCCAGTCAGTGACACTCGGTTCTGTGTTTCCTTCGCCAGTACCTGGCTTTGGAGTCTTCTCACTTCCTATCTGAAACCTGTCTCCTTTCTTGTAGGGGTAACCAGGCCCTACTTCATTCTCCAGTGGGAGCACTTATCATCATCCTCACTTTGTGCTTCCTAGCTCTCTGTCCCCTCCACCTTTTCCTTCCTGTGGGAATGATTTTTCTCAGAATGTTTAAATCTTTATTACGGAAGCCTGACATCCCTATTACACTCTTCCCTTTGACAGCTTTGCCCTATAGGTCGTGTCTTGTGTTGGTTTATCTTGTTTTATGCCTCTTTGCTCTAATGAAAGTGTTGGCTTAGCTTAGCTTCCCAGCTGGAAAGGCAAATAGATGACTTTCAGGTGGATTTATTTCCTTTACACTCAAATGATCTGTTTGCTAAACTCATTTGTAGCTTACATGTTGAAAGTGTAAACAGAGGGGAGTTTATTAATTTGCCCATTGCCTGAGCCTGCTATGATACAACTTGGCATTTTGCCTTAAGCCAGGTGAGCAAGGGATTGCAGAGCCTCCGAGACAGCCAGTGTATCAAGAATCCAGGAATTAAGTTTAAATGGAAATATGTATATACATACACATTCACATACAGATATTTCTCTTTTTTTATAGCAAAAGTGGAATCCTACTGTAATGCTGTTTTATAACTCGCTTTTCTAATCCACTTTACAATCTTTCATGATTATCTTATTATAACACAAAATAGATTTACATGGTATTTCAAATGGCTATATCACAATTTAACTCATTTACTATTGGACATTTAGGTTATTTCCATTTTTTCTCTAGTCATCCTTTTGTGTTATAAATGGTCCTTTGGCTAATCAGTGCATGCATCTAAAATTACTTCTCTAGAATATAAGTCCAAGAGTGAAATTTTTGAGCCAAAGGGAGCATATTTGCTTTCAGTACCACCCAGGAAAGTGGTACATTGTATCCTCTCAACCAGTATTTGAGGTTATCTTCATCAATACTTATAATTACTACTTTTTTGAACATCGTCAGCCCCTTACTGTAATTTTGAAAGAAGACGTAGTGTATTAGACTATGATTTTTTAAACTCTCGATGAGGAAAATCGTGTTTTCCTCTTTTGGACTCCTGCGGCATGAGATCTTGTCCTTAAGCCAGCTCTCCGTGAGATCAGGGCGGGAAGAGTGCCTTGTCTCTGGGAGCTATGTGTGGGTTCAGATCCAAGTCATGTGAAGTTATCACAGACACAACTGTTAGACACTTGGTGTGGCTACACCAGCGTCTATTAGCGAAAACTTACAAGCGAGTCAGGAGTAGTGTATGTGAGATTCCCTGAGCATAGCTCAGTCCGCACATGGCACATCTGCATGCTCCAGTAGAGAGGAGCCCATACGATGATACTCTAAGTGTTTATAGAGTCAGGGGCCAGGTATGTCCATGGGAGTGTATAGTGGTGAAGGCTCCCTGGTCAGAGAAAGGACCTTCTCAGAAAGGAGGATCGTTGGGGCCTAGTGATTGTTGTTGGCATGTTCTTCTGTGGAGTACAACTAAACCTCTGAGCTAGGGGAGGAGGAGCGCCTCCAGGGGACATCCAGGTATGTTTCCCATCCATTCCGACCCCTTTGTGGCTCCTGCTGTAATGTTTCCTGTGGCTTCTGATTCCCAGGCGTCTGTGCGGTGAACGGGCTCCTGTATGTGGTCGGAGGGGATGATGGATCCTGCAACTTGGCCTCGGTAGAGTACTACAATCCTGTCACCGACAAATGGACACTGCTGCCAACCAACATGAGCACGGGGCGGAGCTATGCAGGTCAGTATGCTTTACCCCCGATTCCACCTTCCCCCCCACCCCACTCCTACACAGGAGATGCAGGGCAGGGTGGAGGTAAGTTTGCTTAACTTAGGACTACGTGCCTCCTCCAGGGATAGCAGATAATTTTCAGAGGTCACCACTCCTTTCTATGCCTGCCGCAGATTCCTCTAATGAGCACTGGTTTCCCCAGTGAACCTGAATGCAGGCCCAGAATTCTTTTTAACACCCATGTTCCGGGGAGCCACTTCCACCTGCCTCAATTTGTCATAAGAGGTTTAAAAATTTCATTGCCATTTCTGGGCTACCAGGTACAATAAGATACAGTCCTTGCCTTCCAGAAATTTAATTGGAAAGATAAGATTTGTCTACATGAAATAGGAGATACAAGACAACGTACACATAACTTCTAAATGGAATGTGCTATGCTGTACATACTGTAAGGCATGACAGGTGAGAACTTCCTGGAGGAAATGAGCCATGATCAACTCTGAAGGTGGGCCCCAGTGACATGGCTAGCTGCCCTGTGCCACAGGGTAGTGTGTTCAGGACCCTGTACACGTTCACTGCCATCTTTTCAAGAATGCTCTGGGTGCCTGGGACTGGTTCCTTCCATTTTACAGATGATGAAACTGGGGGTTGGAGAATATAAGTATCCTGAACAAGACCACATAGCTCAAAAAATGACAAAATCAGCATTCAGACTCAGGTCTGACTCATGAGTCCATGCCCTCTGGACCACCACAGCTGACGGGGGAACACATTCCAGGCCAGATATGCAGGCAGGAGTAAGGAATGATGCTGCTACAGGGGCTTATACCTGGGGATTGTGCGTAAAGGGGTTGGTGAGGTTTGGGAGGCCGGATGTAGCTAGTGCCGCTGACAATGAGGGTCTATAGAGAGACACACAGACTCATATACACCTGAGGTAGCTCAGCAGCTTGCATCTCATCTTCCAGGAACTGGGATAGTTAGAGCTTACAGTTATTTATTGAGTATATTACTGAGCACATAGCAATGCACCCTAAGTATCTTATAACCACTGTCTCCTGAAGTGTACGTCATGACTCCAGTGGTATTCTTACCCCTTTTATGCATCAGAAGGCCAGTCATTCATTCTTGTTTGGATGTCAGTACAAAGGAAGACTGTGCCATGCAGGCTTGAAGGAGTTTTTACATCACATTTTGTCAACATAGGCTCTCAGTGGCAGTGACTTGATTTTACTTTTTTCCCTTGTTTAGGATTTTCCTCAACTAAATATAAAAGATTTTAGAGACATGTTGGTCTTAGAGTGATTCTTTTCTTGAGGTTAATTATTAAAACTAGTATTTTCAAAACCGTAGTGGGAGGAGCAGGGCCTTTTTAAGCATGAAGTGGCGAGGCCAATGAGGGATTGATCCCTCCTTGGGCTCCTAGTGGGCCTTAATGAGAAGGGAAGATTTAGGTATAAAGTGGTTAGAATTTCACGAATGTGAGGAGTATTTCATGTCGACTTCTTTATTGTCTGTCCACTCTAGAAGCAGATGGGAGAGGGAGAAGCAAACATGTAGTCTGTCCTCAAATCCATTGACTGAATGAATCCATTCTTTTAGAATCTAAAGAAATTGCCTGAAATGCAGAGACATATGGATAGTAATTCATTTGGAGTATTACTTATGATAAGCAAAGATCTGAGAAGTACTTAATGTCTGAGATAAGGGAAAGAGTGAAATTGTGGTATATTTAGATGATGAAAGTTTTTGGGTGGCTTCTGGGTGGCTCAGCGGTTGAGCATCTGCCTTTGGCTCAGGTCATGATCCCGGGGTCCTGGAATGGAGCCCCTCATTGGGCTGTCTGCTTCTCTCCCCACCTCTGCCCACTGCTCTGCCCACTTGTGCTCCCTCTCACATTCTCTCTGTCAATAAATACAATATTTTTTTAAAGTGTTTTTTAACATCATGAGAGAATGTTTGTGCCAGAGGTGAGGGGAGGTCATCATGCAAGGTATGTACCATGCGAGCTCAGCCAAATCATCCTGGATCATGAACGTTTGAATAGCTGCTGCTTAGAGAAGGGAGTATTGAAGTCAGATCTCAGTGGGAGTTCCAGTTCTGCCACTTGGCTGGGACTCTGGGCAAGGTAACTGGTCTGACTGAACTTCCTGTTTTCTCATTTGTAAAATGAGAATAAATTCACACCAAGTGTCTTACGGCTGTCATGCAGTGATATGTGGAATGCTTAGCACAGTGCCTCCCTGGCATGTAGCGCCCACTCAGTGGATGATCATGATTATTTTCAAAGGCTAGGAAATAGTCCAAAAAGATAATGATGACTCTCTTTGTATGAAGAAATTCAATTTTTTTCCTTGTGTTCTTCTGTGTTTTCCAGATTTCCTGTAATGACAATATTTTACTTAAAAAAATTATTTATTTGTTTTGAGAGAGAAAGAGAAGGCCAGAGGCAGAGAGAGAGAGAATCTCAAGCAGACTCCACATTGAGCTTGGAGCTTGACATGGGGCTTGATCCTAGGACCCTGAGACCATGACCTGAGCCAAAATCAAGAGTTGGCTGCTTAACGGATGGAACCACCCCAGTGCCCCAAGAATATTTTACTTTTATGATCAAAAAAGGAAGTTTGTATAAAACAGTACAGAGCCCTGCTTTTTTTCTCGCTCTTTTTTTTAAATCTTTCTTATGAAAGAATCCTGAGGTATGGGGCCCCTGGGTAGCTCCAGTGGTGGGGCGTCTGCCTTTGGTTCAGGGCATGATCCTGGGATGCTGGGGTCGAGTTCTGCCTCAGGTTCTCCACTTGGAGCCTGCCTCTCCCTCTGCCTGTGTCTCTGCCTCTCTCTGTGTTTCTCTTAAGTAAAAAAAAAAAGGGAGGGGGATCCTGAGGTGCAGGTGAGATGCTGTTAAAGCGGAAGCACATCCAGGTCTGGTGACTCAGGCTGCCCATCTTTGAGCTTTTCTATCTATACCTTTATCCAGAACTCACATGCAGGTATCTTAGCAGAATCTCACCACTGGGATATCCTGGCATTTCTTTAAGCAATGTTCTCTCGACCTCATCTGCAACCAGAAGATTTTATAGTTCTGGGAATATGCGAAAGTAAGGCTCCAGTCAGATACTCCGTACCAGTAGACCTTACCTATAAATTAGGATTTTGTTTAGGAAAGCAGATAGGTACTTGCTTAAATAAGGAAGGCATGTATCTGTCTCAGGCAGAAGGAAGTCCAGGGCTGGCCTAGGGCTCAGACTGTCATTGAAGAACCAGGTTTGTCCTCCCTTCCCTTTCCTGTTTTGCCAGCTTTACCAACAGCTACCGCTGCTGCCTTGGGCCATGTATCAGCATTCTTCCAGGCGGGGCGGCAGACAGAGCCAAAGCTGTGGCCCTGGCACATGTGCCTTCCAATGGTTTTGGCCAGGACTGGGTCACGCGGCCCTTCCAGCTGCAAGGCAGTCTGGGAAGCCGAGTTGAATAACATACTGGTCTCTGCATTTGAGGATAGCAAGTAGAAGGGAGGTTGGCTGAGTCCACCTACAGTATGTGCCACGTTACAGAGACCATCTAGGGTCATCTGTGGACTCACGAAGCTACCCATACTTGAGTATGGTTCAGTTTGGCTAATACCATACCAAAGACTGATGTGTCTGGACTGTTTTTCCAAGTATAACATTGAGCACTGGAGGGGTCTTTCAGTCAGGTGACATCAAACATTATGGGAGCTCAGCCTGAAGAAGTCCATGGATTTGCCCGAGACCACGTTGCAGCTTGACTGGTGGCAGGGCTAGCACTGGCATTCAGCTTTTCTGACTTCAGTGAAGTCAGTTCACTCTTCTTTTCAGTTCATTTCAGTGTCTTGTAAAAGTCGGCATGAATCACTGTCACTTCTCTTAAAGTGATAGAGAGAGCCATGGAGCTACTTCTGGGCAGCCAGTGAAGGTGGGGAATGTCATTAAGCTGAGCTCTGAGGCTGGAAAAGGAGTCATCATGACGAGAACTGTGTCCATGTGATAATGTGAAAGGAGACCACTAAGCTGTGGTGCTGAAGGACTGTGCTTGTGAGCTCACGTGTCTTGCTGAGACTTGACTGGGCCACTAGAGTGGGAAAGAACCAGCGGCTGGCAGTCTGAGTTCTCAGGCCCCGCAGTGTTTGGATACCAACGTACCCGTTTCCCTTGACTGGGCCTTTGGGATGTCTTGGGCTCATGAACTCCATGGGACTCTGAATAACTTGGAAGAAGCTAAGTCGGTAACTTTCTCTCCCTTTTTTTTAGGTGTTGCTGTGATTCACAAGCCCTTGTGATCCCCACTCCCACTGCCAGGAGGTGGAGGAGGGGTGGGGTGCTGCATGTGACTCAGAACAGTGGCACCATGACTGCTGGGTGCCACTCACTGTGAGAAACAGCAGTGGAGTCAGAAGTGCCCTCCTCCGATGTGGCAAAGTGGTGTCTGGCCTGAAGACTGGTGACCTGTCTCCTGCTCCCCTGAAGCATTCAGGCCTCCTCCCAGAGCAGTGGGTTCCTGATAGCTCGAGGCAGCACCTTTGGGCTTTACTGTGTGTTTCTATGGGAACACCTGAGAAACCTGTGTGTGTGTGTGTGTGTGTGTGTAGAACATGGTGTTCCACTAGGTTGGGGGATGTGTGACAATCTACTGGATTTCTTTACTACTGATCCTTCTGTGCTAGAAATCAAATCACAGAAACCTCTCTTCTGGATTTACCCCATGGGAACCCTGAGATTACTAAAGCTGCTGTCTTCTGGAGGTCTGGTTGAACAGGCCAGGAATGTCCAGAAATGACTGGTGACAGGGGCATTGCTTTGACCATGCCTATAGACTGGCTTTGACTACTGGCACTGTCTGCAGAAGAGCTGGGCATTATTGAATCTGCACTGTGTCTTCTGTGTGCTAGAACTGGGAACAAATGGGTTCCTTAGCCCCTCCCAATGGGTGCTCTTCTTTGGGCTCTCTTCCAGGAAGTAAATGAGAACCGTCTAGTCCTTGATGTTTGGGATGCTTCTGTGTCTCTTCAATTGGAAAAACTAGCTCTTTGGAGAAGCCCCGAGTATGACACTGGAGAAAAAAAATATGTACACATGAAAGACAAAAACAAAACAACAAACCAAAGTGGTAAGGCAGTTCCTGCCTCAAATGGTCTCAGAGAGGATCCTACTTCTGAGTTTTGTTGGGATAGACAGTGCCCATTTATACTTATTACCCAGGCTTAATTATTCACAGCATCCTGTTTTACTCTCAAAAGTGTTCTTGGTTTGGAGGATAAGTAAAAGGTCACCCTACCTCCAAACCCAAAGATAGTTTTGCCCCTGCCTTGGGGTCGTATGTGATCTAGATGGACATGGATGACTTCAAAGGAGTACACCAGCTGGGGCTGACCCTCAGCATTTGATGGCGATGGTCAGATCTGTCTGAGGTCCTCGTCTTCCTTTCCTTGTATTCTCTCTCCCCTTGTTCCAGGGCCTGCCTCCTCTCTCCAGCCCTCATAATATTTCCTTCCTCCTTGTTTTTCCTGAGAGAGAGAAGGTGGTAAATACCCTGAATGTGTGATCTCTTTCAGGGTTACCTGCATTTTAAAAGGAGCTTGGTGAAAGCTTTGCTAATTCACAGGCAAAAATTATTAGTGACAGAACTTCAAGCATTTGGGGGTGGGTGGGTATTTGAGGACACATGGAATCAATTTTCATTTAAAAAAAAAAGATGTGAAACTGTTCCTCAAATTGCAAATCACTTATGTTGGAATTTGTGGCATAAGAAGGAAAGGTCTTGTGTCTGGAGAATAGTGTCGCATTGTCGGGGCTGGGGATTAATGCTCCCTGGTGTGGTGGTCCATTTACAGGAGTCAAGGGGCTTTGTGGAACCTGATAAGGGACTTCTGGTATCACTGGGCTACTTCCAAGCAGATAATAAAGGAGACTGGCACCCTCCCAGCTCACTCTGGCAGGAATAAAGCCAGTAGCCTCCCTAGTAGTTGGCTGCTTTGTGTATTTAATGCATATTTTTGAGCACTAAACACTCAACTCTCTTGATGAAGAAAACGTCTTCTGATGTTGAGCAGATATTTCAGTGAGACGTTTGGAGGGCAGCACTGAGGCATCTGGAATTTTTAGCGGCTTCGGAAAGAGGCTAAAATATCCAGCTTTGTTGGACATGGAGGAAATATTTCCAGGGGAATCAAGGCATGCCTTCAGTTAGGTGCTGGCCACTGGAGATGACAGTGGTTTCAGAGCTCTGCCTTGGCTTGGAAGCTGATGGAATGAGCTTCTTGTTGCCAGTGTTCTTCCTCTCGGCCTGAGGAAGGTTTGGGGCTTCCTTTTGGTTTCTGGTGGGGATGAGGCTGGGGGTTGGGGTCCCATGTGTGTTGTTCACACAGCTTCTGATTTGAGATTAAAGGTGAACTTCCCACCCCCTCTCCGAGCACCTGGGAGCTGAAATTTCATGCATATGTGGGAGAGGTTCTTGTTTTTCATCTGCCTAGAGTGGGTCCCTTCCCTCAGAGCTCACCAGCCGTATTTTCTGCGTTTGGAGTTTTGCTATTGATTCCACGTCACAGCTCCCCAGGAAGCACTGCCCATTTGCCAATAGTCCTGCTGAGGCCACATTCATTTCATCCTCATGCGTCCTTTCTCATGGGGACTCTGACACTGGTATGTCACCACCAAAAAGCCATTGGGCTCTAGCCGCCCACAGATGCCATTTAAAACCTGCTGTCTCACTATCACTAGGTACGATTCTCTCTCCACAGTGAACACAACTGACTTGATTTCAAGTCTGTGCTGGTCACATGGTAGGTGAACCCCTTGCCGCGCCCCCCCATCTGGGTGGCCACAGCTGCTTGTGAATGCAGCTTTGCGGATGGCATATCTGAAAGCCGATCACAGTGATGAGATGGAATTGCAGTCCAAGGTTAGAAGCCGCTTAGATGCTGCTTGGATACTGATTTGGACAACACAGAAGTCAGACTCTGAATTCCAAAGTCACTTCTAAGTACTTAATGGCATCTCTCCTAAAAAGTTGCAGTATTATGCAAATGAAGCTGACCTCATTTTCTGCTATGCAGTAAGAACACTTAATTCTCTTTAATGACAAATGAGTTGCAATATCCCCTAGCATGCTTTTCGAGCTGTGTTACTTTGATATCTGTTGTGTAATGTTTGTATATTCCTGAGCCAGATCCTTTCAAAGATTGCCTTTTTATAAAACTGAAGCTATAGCTTTCAGGCTAAACTTTTAATGTAGATATTTTTATAAGATAATTTTTTAGGATATTTGAATTGATTTTTATTATCCATGATAATGAAAAGTTCTGTTCCATAAGTCATTCACTCTTATAGGTCATGCCTGTAACTATTTTCCCTTTGCTTGTCACCCTCCAAAAACAGATTTTTCAGTAGTTCTGGGTAGATGAGTCTTTTTTACTTTGAGTCCTCTTTCTCATACTGGAAAGAGGGAGATTGCTGGAAAACACAATCACTGGTGTCTCTAGAATTGCTTAGGGACTAATGTTTAGCCTGACTCAGCAATTACCCTGTACTGCCTGGCCACTGTTTTGGAGTCCGTTCCTTGCAGGAGTGAAGCTGGTTGACCCATCTCCTGGTGTCTCTCACTGCCTGGTGCTGAGCAGCCTGGCATGCTGTAGCATGGAGATGCTCCAGAGAAAGTCTGCCCTCCAGTGTATACTCCCAGGAGTTTCCTAGGTCTAGTAAACTAGTCCTCATTCTTTTCTGTCCCGTTGTTCTTCTGAAGCTTCCACCAGCTAAAGGCTGGATGATGTCCCTTTTGGAAGCATCTTGTCTATAAACTTTAAAAGAGGGGTCACTCCTCATGATCATTAAGAATGTGTTAAGCATGTCCTTTACAGATGCTTATACTATACCTAAAACTTACTTGTTTCTTGAGCTTTATCTATATACTCCAGGCTCTATTTTATGTATTTTTCTGCCATTAGCCTCATTGAAAAAATCTTTTATTTTTATTTTTGGGACAGGTGCCATTTGAATTGCCTCCATGCTCCCCATTTGCACCTTTTTGGATCAGGTTGGGAGATTGAACAAACTCCTATTCCAGTTAGCTGGAGTTTTTAAGGTTTTGTTTTCCCGGAGAAGCAAGGAGGTTGGATTTTTTTTTTAAGTGTTTGCACTATTTAGAGTCCTAAGCCCCTCGTGTTAAGCTGTGCTGTGTGTGCTGTGTGACCAAGCAGCAGCACTTTTGACATTTGGGAATGGAAGAGACTTCTATAGTGGATAATCACAACTTCAGAGCCCCTACACAGCCTTTGTCATGGGGCTAAGTGTCTCATGGATATGGCATGAGCCAAGGGAGGAATGCTTGTAACTGTGGCATTTGGAGAAACAAATTATGTTCTTGCCTTGGGTTATGAGTTTGAAAATTATTTCCCCCTCTTTCTCAGTGGCATAAAAGGGCCCTTGTTCGACTTCTTATTTAATTTGTGTATGATGTATAAAATACTTTGAAAGAAGACTCAAGACGCTGAATGTGTATGTTTGTGTGGGTGCTCTGTCCATGTGGTTGTCCGTAGGCAACCAGACTTGATCACTGATGCCCTGTTAACACACTGCATCGGTAAGGTCCTTGATCTGCTCTTCTCTGCTTGGATGTTAGAGCCCATCTGTCTTGTAAAAGAACACTTGTCATATCCTCCATCAGTTACAGTGGTAGCTGAAGAAACCATTCCTCAAATGTATTATTTCAATAGGAATCAAGTTTTAGTTTCCCATACTTCGTGTTAATTTTAATAAAAGCTGAACTGTGAAAACCTTTCTCAGTTTTTCATTTCTATAGTCCAGGCTCTTCACTAGGTCTTATTCCTGTGTATCTTCAGATTAATTTTGTTTTCCTCTCTGACCTCAACACAGTACCATGCCCACAAAGATCTTCTTCAGTGAGTCCCAGAGAGGCCAGTCCCTCCAGTCAGTGTTTGGTGGTGTAGGCAACTGTCCAGCGATCAGGTGGGTGTGCTGGTCTTGGGCACGGAGAAGAGGAAAAAGAGATCTGGCTGTAAATAAATACTGATTTTCAGAAGTTTTTTAATAAGACCTAGAGGTTTTATAGACATCTTGTTTTTATTGTTACATATACAAATATTAGTTGTATTTTATTAAATATGTACAACTTTTAAATGTCTATTTATAAAGTATCAACATATATGAAATAATACTAGACTACATTTACCGAGTATGTGCTATGTTCCAGGCACTTAGGTAGTGCTTTACTTCTGTGAACGCATTTAAGGCTCATCGGTTCTGAGTGACTACTATCTTTTACAGATGAAAATATGAAATGCAGAGGGGTTAAATAACTTGCATAAGGTAGCAGTGCTGAAGGAGGCTGCTAAATGCAGTGATGCAGAAGGGCCTAGTTTTACCTCACATCCACTGACTTGGCTTCTTTCTGGCACAACTGTGTTTAAGTCCCTTTTGTTTCCTCCCTCCTTCTGGGTGGGGATGGGGACAGGTCTCCTGAGTTTACATTCTGCTTTAGGAGTAGAGAATCTTCCTAGCTTTGGCTCCACTGACTCCAGAGAACAGGGGATTTAGTAGCACGTGTATAACTGTTTATATTACAAAGGAGTTCCAAGGGATTTTTTTTTTTTGTTTCTCAGAAAAGTCTAGTGAGGTAGCCAAGGCAGGTGTATGTTGTGCAGTATGTCTCTACCTAGTGTGTACCATGGGCACTTCCTCAGTGGAGGGACTGGTACGTGTGGAACACGCAGAGCAGGTGATTTATTAGAAGTAGTGATTCTTTCTCTCATCATTCCCATTACACAGATGGGGCAATAGACTAGGAGGAGGTGAAGCAACTTGCTCAGAGTCCCAAAATCAGAGCTTGGATTCTATCACCCAAAGTCAGTTGGCTCTATACAACAGAATGACAGCAGTGGCTTAACCAAAGAGTGGGTTATTTTGCTCACATAAACGTGAATCCAGAGTTAAGCACTCCAGGGCTGACACAGCAGTTCCATGTCGTTGTTGGGATCTTGGGTCCATCTGTTTTTTTTTTTTTTTTTAAATCTTCCATCCTTTCCATGTTACAGGATAGATGCTCCACAGCTATTGCCATATCTGCAAAAAGGCAGGAAAAAAAAGGCAAGGGGCAGTACAAGAAAGAGGGCAGTGCCTGTACAGGAGAGAAAAACCTTTCCAGAAATCCTTAGTAGAATACTGCTTAGATTTCTCTCAGGGCCCTAGGCTGTGGGGGAGTCAGAGGAGGTGAAGGCTTTCAACTGGGTGCATTCCTGCTCCAGACGAACTCAAGAGTTGCACTGGGGAAAAGGAAGATGAAAATGTACGTTGAGTAGACAAGAGCTGTGTTGGCTACAAAGCTCCTCTTAGCTTCCTGTCTCCAAAAGCCATGTGGTTCCCTCTTTACCAGTCAGTTGATCCATCCTTTCACTTCTGGCCCTGGAATTACCTTGGCAAAGCACTAACCATATGCAGGGCTCCTTGTCATTGAGGGCTAATGGTGCTCCTTCTGCCCTTGGCCCCTGCTGAGGGGATTAAATGGGGGTCCTGGTGTAGTTCTCCTGTCAGATCCTCACTAGCTGTCTCCCTTGCTATATCGGCATCAGGGTGGATGGCTCTCCTGCAGGATGAATGAGAAATCCCAAGCAAAGTGCACCTTTAGGAGCCTGTCATTGAGGCTTTAGAGGCAGCTCATTTATCAGCTGTGCAAGTTTTCCTGAAGCACTGATTGAGGAGGCCTGTCAGCTGCAAGATCTATGACCTTTATCTCAAGAGTGACCCATGTATGCAGCACCATCAATCTTTCTGAGCCACAAACTGGGAGGCAGAGGCAGGTGAGATTTGGTGTTGGTCTCTTAGAGGCAATTTTCCCAACTCCTTTGTCCTCTTGTCCTCCAGGATGTCCTCACTTTTAATGGTGGCTCACTGGGTGGTGTCCAGGGCTGTGCTGAGCCCAAGGAGGTCAGGAAAATGATGTGCACAGTCTGGCTGCCAAGCAGCTATCCTAGGTCTGTTCTTGCTGGGTAAGGCTGCCGCCCAAGCCCTGGCCACAGAGCAAGAAGGGGGAGTATCTGAGCTCCCTGCACCTGGCTAGGGGGATATGTGGCAGCATAGAGGGCGTGGAGGGAGAGCCTGGAGACCTGGTCTCAAACTATCATTCGACAACATAGCATGGTTAAGAGCTTTGAGTCTGAGTTAGTGTGCATTTAAATCCCTGTTCACCCATTACCGGGCCCCCTTCCAGACTCTGTGAGGACAGACAGGTCAGTACAGACATCACACAGTAGCCACAAGGGAGCCCACACTGTTGGGGAGGTAGCAGCTCCCTCAAGGGTCTTCCTCTGAATCCAGACCTCACCTCTACCTTTAAACTGAAGCCTGGATCTGAGGTGAGAGGATCAAGGAGGGGAAAGGCTGGGGCTACACAGGGCATTCAAATGTATTTTTTCAGCCTCAGATCCATCATTTTAATGTAACCTGGCCTCCTATTTCAATGATTAACTAAGGAACTGTCTGTCTCGGCGCCTGCGATTTCTGCACAGCCCTGATAAGGAAGCCCATAAAAATCATCTTCAGGCACCCAGAGGAGGTTTTATGTGTGTCCCAGAAAGGCTGGTTTAATGTCTAGCAGCTTCTAGGAGAAACTTCCTGCCTGGATTTGGGAGGCTGTTAGATGCCAGGATCCTGGGAATGCAGGAGGACCACCCCCAGGTTGACCCAGGAAGGCCCAGGTAGACATGGGTGGGATGAGTATTAGAGCTGGGCTTTGCTGTGGTGCTATGTGACCCAGAGGTGCCGAAGTGGGCTCCACACCCTAGAACTGTGTCAATGGAGCAACTCCCACTGTTGGCCTGGGGGGCTCACTGCCTGCTCTTGCTGATTCTGTACTTTGTGTGTATTCAGTATATCTTAACTCATTCAATACATATTTATCCAGCTCTTGGATATCAGGCTCAGAGCCAGCTCTATAGATATGATACACATGAGAGGATCCCTCCCCTGGCAGGATTCCTGTAGAGTTGTGCAAAGTAATAAAGAGGGAATCACCATACACTATGGTAAGGGTAAGGGTAAGGTTAAGGGTAAGGGTAAGGGTAAGGGTAAGTAAAGGGGACTGTGGACACATACAGAAAGGTTAGGAAAAGCATTCTGGTGGAAGTGGTGGTAAGCTAAGATCTTACTATAGATGGATGATGGGTGTTGGCCTGGTAAAGGGTTAGGTGGAGGTGCTGGGGAGAGAGGAAGAAGGAATAGCAGTGCAGAGGCCCAGAGGCCATAAATGTGGCCTTTTGAAGAAAGCACCAGTACTTCAGAATAGCTGAACCCTGGAGTGTAAGGGGAGAATGGAGAGGAATGAGGCTGGAGTGTTGGGCAAGAGCCATGTCACAAAAGGGCTTGAAACCATGGAGTGGTTCAATTCTCTTTCTGGAGATCACTGGAAAACATCAGAAGTGCCATCAAAGTTGGTCTCCCCAAGGAGCAGACTCTGGGGCTCTGGGACATTCACGCTGAATGTTATTGGTGGGGACTCCTAGCAGTGACACCTGGGAGCAGAATGAAGCAGGGGGAGAAGTTATAATGTGCTTTTAACAGAGGCCTCAGCCAGTCCCCTGGGAGCTCTGGAGCTGGGATGGCCTTTCATTGTCGTCCTGAGTTAACACAAGGGGGACAGACTTTTGCATCTCTGCAAAAATCAGTCATTGACCAAAGAAATAAGTAAATTGGACTTCATCAGGATTAACAGTTTCTGTATTTCAAATGATACTATCAAGAAAGTGAAAAGACAATCCACAGATGGGAGAGAATACTTGTAAACCATGAATCTGATAAGGATTTAGTATCCAGAATATATAAAGAATATATATAAGAATATACTGGGATCCCTGGGTGGCGCAGCGGTTTGGCGCCTGCCTTTGGCCCAGGGCGCGATCCTGGAGACCCGGAATCGAATCCCATGTCGGGCTCCCGGTGCATGGAGCCTGCTTCTCCCTCTGCCTGTGTCTCTGCCTCTCTCTCTCTCTCTCTCTCTCTCTGTGACTATCATAAAGAAATAAAAATTAAAAAAAATTAAAAAAATAAAGATTAAAAAATATATAAGAATGTATATAAGAATATAATTTAATAAGAATATAAGAATATATATATATATATATATATATATATATATATATATATATATATATATATAAAACTCAGCAATAGGAAGATAACCCAATTTAAAAATGGGCAAAGGATTTGCATAGACAATTTTTCCAAAAGATATACAAATGGCCAGTAAGCACATGAAAAGATGCTCGACATCATTAGCCATCAGGGAAAAGTCAATCAAAACCACAATGAGATACCCTTTCATGCTCACTAGGATGGATAAAATCAAAAAGACAATAACAAATATGCCAAAGCTGTGGAGAAATTGGAACTCCCATACCTTGCTGGGGGGATCATAAAATGGTACAGCCTCTTTTTGGAAAACAGTCTGGCAATTTCTCAAAAAGTTAAACACGGGTTTACCATATGACCTGGCTAACTCCACTCCTTGGTACACACCCAAGAGGAACGAAAACATACATCCACACAAAAACTTGTACATGAATGTTCATAGTAGCATTATTCCTAGTAGCCAAAGGCGGAACCCAAATAGTCATCAGCTAATGGATGGATAAACATACAAAGAATGAAGTACTGATGCTCCAATACGGATAAACCTCGAAGGTATGTAGTTTTTCTTTGGCCTAAGTGGGTTGACACTTCTACTTTGGAATGTCAATGTACATTTATGTTCAATAAAAATTGGAGCT